ACGCAAACCGTGGTGGTCTATGTGGGGGTCCAGGAACATAGCCATTATTTTAACTGCTGGTTCCCTTTTTTTTTTTTTTTTTAAATTTTCTTTTTGAGAGGTTTTTGCTATAGGGCGTGAGCGCTCATCCGAAAGACTGAGAGAGTCACTGAGATAGAACGTGAGAAATTACCCTCCAGGGAGGATGGCCATGCCACAATTCCTTCTTCTCCATTCTCCTCTTGGGATATTGGGCTCGCACGCACATGTGCCTCGTGTGAGTTTAAGCCATCGGGTTTGGGACTTGAACCGTGGTGAGCTACTTGGGAGTCCAGTGACATAACCATTACGGCAACTGCTGGTCTCTCTCTCTCTCTTTCTCTCTGATGAGTGCATGTGTCCTACAGAAAATTAAAAATAATAATAATGATAAATAAAATTAAATAAATAATTTAAATTAAAAAAAAAAGAACTGCCAGGTGATATTTTTCATGCAGCAAGTTCCTGAATTTTGCTGTGTTGAAAATACTATTCAACAGCATTATGTGGAGAAAATCAAAAAGGTTAGTTTCTGGGTAAATGTTGAGTCTGAAAGTTGAGTCATGTAGTGATTATTTCCAGAAACTCTTGAGTATGTTAGACTAAGGCATCATATACCTTGGGAACAGATAATAACTGTGTTCATCTTAGTTTTACTTATTTTGGTACATGAAGAATGCTGAATGCAATGTTTACTACCCTACCTGTAAAACAAAACTCTCCCAGTAGAATAAATACAAATTGAGACACTATGTGGGTGTGTGTGTAAAATGGGTTTCCTTTAAAAAGAACATCTCTGAATATTTTTTTGTTGTGTGAACAGATTGGGGGGAAAATATCATGTAAAAATCTCATTTCTGTCAAACTAGACATTTATAAGTCCAATCCAAGAATGTATATTTATACCATAACTAGCTAGACAGGAACTCGATATGCTTAATTTTAAACCTTACCCTTTTGAAAAGGCACAGAGGGTAATGATAAAGAAAATTAATTCTGTCTCTTCTCAATGGAGAGTTAAATAGCTCAGAGTAATTGAAGAAATTATCAGGCTCAGGACTTTTCCCTCCCCACCCCCCATAATATAGGGATACATTTTTTTATTGATATGCTTTCTATTTCTTCATAGGATAACATGTGGGCTGCTCATGAGTAATCTTAGAGACACAGATCTATTTTTGAGGCGGTACAGATGAAAAAGATGAGTCCTTTACAAATTATCATCCCCCCTCATTTTCCTCCAGTTTCCGGCAGGCTGGTGGAAGTAGTGGTCAAAAACAGCTTATCTAGACCAGCCCATGACCTCGTGGTTAAGGTGGCTGGATCCCAAATGGCTGACTACATGGTTCAAGTCCAATACTTGGATGTTTAGAAAACACTCAGGACTTGTGTTTATGCATGCCCAAAATCCTGAAAGGAAGGAAAATGGAGGAGAAGAGATCCCCAATGGGGAGTGCTTTCTCACTTTTTCTCTCTCCCTCTCTCTGTGTGTCTTTGGTGGCTACATGCACCCTCTGGAAAAATTTTAAAAAGAAAAAGAAAGAAAGAAAGACAGACAACCTATCTCTCCGAAATGGGAATAGGGTTATGAAATTCTCAGTAGGTTTGTGGTTGGGAGATGCCAATCTCTCCTGGCAAGATGTGACTTGGCATTTGCTGTCAGAATCAGAAATAGAATTTTTCCCCCTCAGATAAAAGCATCTGCATGTTTGGAAGGGGGTGCATAAGGCTTCAGAATCCTGGCAGGTTGTGAATATATCTATCTGACCATCTGGTGTCAGGCTGAGCGCTTATTAACTTTCAGTTTATAACTGCTGTGTTTCTTTTAAGGATTTACAGGAACATTTGAATTTTCTTTGTACCAGTCCCAGGTTCTATCGTGGATGTTGCCCTTGCTCTAATGAAATTGATCCCATTTTAGCTTTCTGTTTGTCAACAGTGGCCTAATTCGCTTCCTAATATGACTGGGATAACATTCAACCATTTTGGGAACTAAACCCCAAATTCCTAGAAAACTCATGCTCTAATCATTCAGGTCTTCACAGCTTTTTTTCATTCCCAGCATCATTGCTGGCTGACAAGCCACTGTTAACTCTCCTCTGGATTGCGGCTTCAGCATTCCAGTTGGGTTCCCTGCCTTTTTTCTCCTTGTATTGCAACTAGAATGAGCCTTGTAGAGGGCAAATCTAACTATCCTGTATAAAATCCTCAAATGGCTGGCCCAACCCTGGTGGCACAAGTGGGAGGCTGCTGCCACGTGAGGGCTAAGGCCCCAGGGGGGCCATTGGTCAATTGCCAGCCCAACCTAGACAGGTTGGGTGTGATGACATGTACCTATGTCCTAATTGACTGGGAGGTTGGGGCAGGAAGCATTATGATATGGTAAGACGTCAAAAATACCTGTCACATGGGGGCCAGATGGTAGTGCAGTGGTAAAGCACAGTTCTCATCAAGGCTGACCAATGTGGGAAGGTTCATTTGTGTCTTGGAACTTCTTAGAACATATAAGGGATGTATATGTTTGTTATCTTAGCTGGCTGAATCTGGGATGGATCACATTGGAAGGACTGCATCATTAGGGTACCTGGCTCTGTTTCTGTCTCTTTTGCTTATGGAAGAAACAAAGAAACTTTAAAAAAAAAAAAAAAGAAAGAAAGAAAGAAAGAAAGGAAAAAAGAAAGAAGGAAAGGAAGAAAGAAAGAAATCAGGCTATTTAAAAATAAAACAACCTATCTCACTCTTTCATTGAAAAAAATCCTGTAATTGTTTCTTCTTGTCTGAAGAAAAAAGGATAAATTCTTAAACTGAATTGTTGTCCTTTCTCTAGGTATATTTTTCTTCTTTTTCAACATTTAATTATAAATGTTACAAAAATTTAGAAAAGCACAGAAAATAATACAATAAATGCCTACATACCTATTAGGTAGATTTAATATTCATTAATAGATTGTTATATTTACCTAACCTCTCTTTTTTGTTTTAATAGAGATTTTCTTGACAGAGTGTGTATACTTGCCAGAGATACAAAGAGAGACAGAGAGAAAGTGAGGCATCTTCCCTCACAGTGGGAGATTTGTGTCCATGCCACAGTCCCTTCTCCTTTCTCCTCTTGGGATTTTGGGCACATGTGTACGTGCGCCTGGCATGAGTTTCAAGCTGCTGTGTTCAGGACTCAAACTGTGGTCGGCTATGTGGGAATCTAGCACCTTAACCACTATGCCACCTGTTGGCCCACCTAACCAGTCCTTTATAAAGGGAACAAAAACGGTTCTTGTCAAAACTTGGTGTTGTCAGTATTTTTAATTTAATCTGCTCTGGTCAGTAAGTAGTACTGTTTTGCTGTTTTTTTTTTTTTTTTGTCATCATTTTTTAAAGTTTTTATCTGATAACTCTTATAAAGCTACCATATTTATCTGCTTTTGTATTTCTTGGTTTTCTTCAGTTTCTTCTGTTTTCTCACATGCCTGATTATTTTGATTGGGTACTAGATATTGTATGCAAAAAATTATAGAGGTTACTTGACATCTAGATAGTATGATTTTTTTTTTCTAGAGATTTACTTTTACTTCTAGAAACTTCTATTTCACATGACTTATTCTAGTTAGGTGTTGAGATAATTTGAAACTGAGCTTTAGTCCATGTGAGGGATAGACTTCATAAAGACTCTTCAGAAGATTCATGGAAAATGTATTATGAAAAAACTGTGCATGGGTTTCAATTTTTTTTGTGTGTGCCAAAACAAATGTGTATTTTAATCCCATTTTGTCATGAATTTTTTGAAGTCCTCTCATATTTCCAACTTACCTTGGGAATCATTTTTTGGATTGCCTACCAAATATCTAGGCATTTTACCATGGCTCCTCCTTTGTAGTTCTAATTTTTTATTTCTTAGGCCATGAGTCTTTTGAAAGTTTTATTCAGCTTCTCAGCCTTATGGCTACTATTTGAATCAGACCTCCAGGGAAAACAGGTTCACTTATCTATGCTCCCCTCACCCCGTTTTTTAGTTTGTTTATTTTTTTCCATGGGCGAGTGAGTGAGTGGGAGATTGAGCACCCCTCACAAAGTCTTGATGGCCCT